TTTATGCTTTGGGCAGCTTTCCCTCTGAGATAATGAGCTCACTTTGAACAGTACAAAAGACACTCCCTGATACCTTTTGGCAGTGTGTTTTTTGTTGTTGTTGTTGTTTTTTGGGGGGGGGGGTCCCCCCAGTTTCCCTACATCCACAGTAAACCATACATTTGACTCTAGACATCCTGAAAGTATTATAGATGATTTTTAACTCTTGCAAGATTCTTCCTGTATGGCTATCCTGGAGTACAGTACTTAACATTGCTTCATGTTACTTTTTTACTATGGGTCTTGGGTTCCTAAGTCACTGGCACTTCTGAAAACTCTATTAGCCAGGTTATTTATAGAAATCATGAATTGCTTCTTTCAAATAGAGCTTTGTCTCTAATTCAATAGGATAAGCTTAATATGGTCAAAGGTCTTGACCTTTAAACTCCAGAATATCAACAACTCTATCAGTAGCAATTAAACTATTGTATAGTTGCTTGAATATTAGGCAACAAGTTAAAGAGGTTCTAGAAGGAAATAAGTTTGTAATAGACTTCAGCTTGGCTGGTGTAGTTTGGGAAAAAAATATTCTCCCATTTGCTAGATGGTAGTTTTTTATTATAGGAAACATTAAAACTCAGCTTGTTCAGTTAAAATTGTCTTTGCTAATCCAGATGACAGTACCTGAAACTACATTAGGGCAGTATAATAGTATTTATTTATTTATTTTAAGGAATTAATTCTGTTTTATACCCCAACCCCCAAATTCTTATATCAAAGTCCAGCCCTCGTGACTTCAACCTCTTGCCTCGCACCCTCTCCCCCAAAGATAATCTTTGCATCACACAGATATAATCAGAGTATTCTTGGATGTAAATTTAGGATAATTTTTCTAAGTTATATTAAGTTAAAGAATCAAAAAAACCCCAGGTGAGTTTGACTTTCACGGTATTTGACATCCTTGTGACAGACCTTCAGTTAAACAAATTAGTTAAGCCTTGAAAAACAAGAAAAGAAGTTTTGGCTCTTTTTGCATTATTTAAAAGAAAAAGAAAAGCAAAAAGCAGGGATCCATTTTTAACTCATCAGGGCATTTTGCCTTAAACTGTACAGGTAAAGTAAAATTTAGCTGAAAATATTTTTCAGTCTGGTGCATAATTCTTTGGCCTTTTTGGGAACATTTTAATTCCTCTAAATTTTTGTGCAAAATATAACTGCAGTTTACTTGAAATTGAGGTAGAAGTGCAGCAGCTGCTGATGTGGCAACAGAAACCAAACATTCTTTCCTGCATCTGTCAGCAACACACATTCATGGTTTAAAGGTCAGAGCAATTTAAATAGTAAAATTAACTTGTGGAAATGTGTGCTATTTCTGAATATAGTACAGTTTTGACTGCCTTTTTTAAATATTGTGTAATAAGAAAAATATCTTTCTGGTTAGTGAGTTTCGCATACAGTAATTAGAACTATTTTTAGTGAGAATACATTATAAAATGCATTAAAATATTTTAAAATATTATAAATTTATTTTTTGCTCTTATGCTTTGGAAAAAAGCAGTAGTTATTCCCAATAGAGTTTATACGGTCTTCTAACTGGTATATACATTTCAGAACTATCACTTGCCAGTGGTCCTCTTGAAATCCTATTTTCTGTTCTACAAAAATTTCTTATTAGTTTTTTAAAAAAGCTATGTCTGTACATAGCAGCTAAAATTTAACTTTTTCAGCAGTGATGTCTTTGGTAGTTGTTGCGCCCCCCCCCCCTTCCAAATTTTTGTCTTTCATATTTTTTTCTCAACAGTTCTGCTTTTCTGTGTGAACAATGGTTTTATATTAACTGAGTCCAGATAAGTTTTTATTCTATATTTCTGTGGGAGCTACAAAAGACTTCACCTTGAAGTCGTGTTGAGTGTGTGCAAAGTGTAGTATTTACACCAGCCATTTCCAAAAAATTTCCTCAGCTATAGTTGATACGCTAATATCAGTGGGAAACAAGTGCATGCTGGTCATTGTCATTTAAACATGACTGGCATCTATACCTCTTCAGTTTGTAAAATATTTGTATAGTAAAGGCCATGCAAGTGTGAAACATGAATTTTCATCTTTTTGAATGTTTGTCAAATGTATGATCTGCTTGTTCCAGTAGCGAGACTGGATAGAAGAAACTACAAAATTTACCAGATAATGGATAGTGCTGTGCAAAATGAGTCATCTCTACACCTCCTGGGGAAAAAATTGTCCTCAACACAAATACTGTACTCAGCACAAAGGTGCTCTTTGTCAGCGGTCTCAAATTGAATTAATAGTTGGAAAGAAATGGCCAATATCAGTCTATTGGGATACTTGCCTGTCACTTCCCCAACACCTGGTTTCCATCAGAATCTGCAACTCTTCTCAACCTTTTGTTCTGAATACCCTGTAATTCATTTTCCCTTGAAGGTTTGTATTCATATCAACTTTTTAGCAGTAATGTCTGGGTCAGGTGCACCATCTATGGGCAAAAAAATAGTCTTGCTTACAATGATAAGTGTTGCCTATTTCTGTTAACCTCCTATATAATTTAGTTGTTGCCCTTTAGTTTGGTTCTGGAAGGACCTTGCTACTTTCTTGTGCCAAATATAGCATATCTAAGGTCAGTTTGAACTTCCCTTAAACAATGGAGGGCTTTATCCTTACAGCTTAAGACAAGGAGTGGTTTCTATTACAGTGTAACTAATATGCATTGGCCTACTCTGCTGTAAAATGAAATTATGATTCTTGGTAGTGTACGTAGACCCTGAAGGAACGTTCTTGTTCTCCACTTCTGCTCTCGTACATGGGTGGTTATGTCAAAAATCCTGTGACAAGTTTCATTCTTCCACAACAAATTCATTGTCTCCTTTGGTTTTGCTGGCTCCTAATTAAATAACTCCTTTTCTCCAAGGTAATTGAATCCCAGCTTCTGTTAATACTGCCTTCTAAAACCCTCTCCATACACACTGTGGACAGCCACTGTCATCTTTCCAGTCACTTAGGTCTTAGCCTGGGTGTCATCTAACCCTGCTCTAAGTCCTTATGCCCAGGTTATATATAAATCTTGTCTGTTCCTTTTGCAGAACTCCTCCAAGATGCAGCCTGTTCTATCTGCAGTTTTCTTCCAAGTTTTTTATCTGATTCAGAGACTTGGAAAAGAACTCCCCCCTGTTCTCTGCACCTCCTTCCTTCCCCTCCATACTTCCCCTTGCTGTCCACAGCTGTCACCGTCTCTGATGTCCCCAGCTGATCCAGGGGTGGGTGGAAGTCCAGAACTGCTCCTGCCCTGCTCTAGCTGCAACTTTCTGCACAAGGGGTGGAGATGGGCTAGAGGCAGCAGCAGCAATGGTGGGCAGGTTTCTTCTCACTGAGCCTGCTTCTGGGCTGGTGGGGGATCATCTGGGAGGACCAGGCAGGGAGGAAGAATCATCTTATTGCCACTGCTCCCAGCTGAACCCAACTTCCTGTGCAGCCTGGCTGGAGCTTCCTTTGCCCCAGGGTCAACTGGGGACAGCAGCAGCAGGGGAGCTGCCTGTCTTGCTGACTAAACTGTCTCATTTGTTTCGTTGTATTCTTCCACCTGTCTCTTGTATCCATTGTGTCTTGTGTTAGACTATCAGGCGGGGGGCAGAGCCCCTTTTTATTCTCTTTGTGTACAGTGTTCTTTTTGTTTTGCATGACTGGGTTTCTGGGTGCTATCATACCAATTAGTAATGGATTGACATTTCGAGAAACAATGAAACGGGCATTTGTGAATTACAAGACTTTCCATGCATGTAGTTAGAGTCCTTCTTTCTTTTTTTAAAAACCAGTTTCCCTTATAAATTAGACGCAAGTCATGGGATGATTCCAGGGAGTAGGGTAATCAGGGGAGACTACCCAAAGGCTACATGTGATAGAGTTGAGGTTAGGCTGTTGTTGTTGGCAATGTGTAACTTACTCCTCCTGTGTCTTGGGGTAAACTTGAATTCTTTTTGTGTAGAATTGTTTACACATAATGAGGAGGCCCATAACTTTTATACATCTCTGCAACTAAGTCTAAGGATCTATATGCCAGTCATTTTTCCCACTAATGAAATTATGTACCACATCTCCCAAAGAGAAGTATGCATTATTATTATTGATATAAATGAAAATATCTAGTAAATGAAGATATAGAAGTGCAAAAATCTGAATACAGTAAACCTCTGTAATATACTGAGCCTCTTATGATTATGAAGCATGCAGTTTGTTAGAGAGATAGAAACTCTTACCCCTCAGATCTAAGAAATTCTGCAGTGAAGTTGGTTCCATGTTTTTGATAATCAACAGTGTCTTTTACACCAGGAAATGCAAAACACATAGCCAAGATTGACAGTTAATGAACAAAGTCTGTTGATGCATTTTATCTTATTTTATCTGTATCCCCTCCTGTTCACATAGATCATTTTTACATGTGCTCTAGGAGGCACACTGGTGGGCGGGGGCGGTGTGCTCTTCAATTAGCGAGCGCTTGCCTGAGTGTCACGTGCATTAGCATCCCTTGCACTGCAAAATGGCAGCAGGGCGCTTTGAACTAAAGCTCATTGAACAAGCTTTATTTAAAGTGCCCCGCTGCCATTTTTTGGTGTGGGGGGTGCTAATACACATGACCCCAGAGTCTGCTGGAGCGTGTTTATTTCCGTGCTCCAGCAGACTCAATTAATTGAGTGTGCTCCAATGTGCTGGATTTTCAGCACATTGGAGCCAGCTCCCTAAACATATATAGGAGCCCATTCTGGCTAATAAGGAAGGTTCAGTCACTTGCAGTGGACAGTCCTGTTAACTGTTAGCAAAGCTCAGACTAAATTGGGATTATGAGACTAAAACTGGGCATTTGAATTCAAAACATTTAATTTTACTAGTGGGCATCTGTTATATTTCAAGAAAAAAAAATACTGAGAAATACGAGTCTGTGTAACTTACCATTTCAAATATAGTTTATTACAATGTTTGATTTTTTTTTTCTTTTTTTTTTCTTTTTGTTGTAGGGGAAGCCCACATATGAAAGGAACTCCACATTATAAGGAAGAACAATGTGCTCCTTTGTTAAATTTAGAGCTGAAGAAAGTGCTGGATTTGCAAGCATCTATCACAAGGTGTGGTAAATAATCACTTGGTCTACTGGGTTTCTCACTACTAGTACTTGTCTAAAAACATAAAAACAGGAATTAAAGAAGAAAGGTGACAGTAGATCTAAGAAGGTGAAAATAAGTTGCTTATTAAGAGTTAGCGTATGTAAAGTGGAGTCTTAGTTCTACGAAGGCTTTGTTTTGGACTCGTTTGTACTGGCTTTTATGCTTTGATAGAGCAGCATCATTAAACATTGGACATACAACTCTGGTGCAAGTAGGTCCATCTCTGCTCTAGGGATTTGCAGAAATGTAGTTAGAATAGAACAAAAAATTCCCATTGTAGAAATGCTTCTAATTCTTCTGCGGAGAAGATTTTAGTGTGGTTTTTTTGTTTAAATTGAGGCTTTTCTGGCAACTTAAGATGCCAGCATTCAATAGGCATTTGTCATGTGGAGGTCAGTATCTGCTGCCTTCTAGAGTTTTCATCTTATGGGAAAGGTATTTTTTCATCCTGTTATAATTTATCTTGTTTTTATTTCAAGCTGCCCTGAGCCTTCCTTGAGGAGGACAGCATGTAAATCAAATAAATAAATTTGGGGTCAGAGAGTATATAAATGACTTTAAACATTTGCTGAAATAACCTTTTAGTTTTGTACCTCCAAAATATCCTTGAAGTGGGGGAAGGCTACCTGCTTAAAATGCACTGCGCTACTTTAAGATTGCAGCCAGTAACTTTAACTGTGAGAGAGTCTATGATTTACCTAGAACAGGGGCAGGCAATTATTTTGGGTGGAGGGCTGCTTATTTAGTTCTGGCAAGCCATCAAGGCCCGTGTGACAAGGAGCCTAGGGCAGATTAAAATTAAATTTCTAAATGTTTTAGGGGCCCTGCGGGCCAGATAGAATGGCTTGGCAGGCTGCATCTGGCTTGCTGGCTGCATTTTGCCCACTCCTAACCTAAAAGATGCTTCTCTTTGCACAGGTTACCATGCTTCTCCCTATCCCACTGGTTTAGACTCGAGGCTCACCTTTATAACGTTTTAAAATTGGGTGCTGCTCAAATCACAAAACAAACGAATATATTTTAGTGCTTACCATCTTGCAGTGGGGCTGGGCAGTGAGGGTGGGGGATCAGCCAAGCAGGGACAAGTCTGAGCCTGTGTTTATCTGCTTATCCCCTCACACCTCAAGGACACTTTGAATAACTTCTTCAGGACACATTTACCCAGCTGCTATAAGGAGAGTAGTGTTCTGATAAAATAATTGACCTTTTTGAGAGACCTATCTAGGCTGTCCATTTCTAAAGAGAAACAAATGCCTTTTTTTCCAGCTTACAGTCTATGCAGGAGGATCTGCTTGTTGCTACTGCTGATGGACTACTCCATCTTATTCATTGGAATGGTATGACAAATGGAAGGAAGGCCATCAACTTAAGTACTGTACCATTTTCTGTGGACCTGCAGTCTTCACGAGGTACTTCTTTCTTTGTGCTGGTTAAACACTAGAGCAAATATCCATAAATTAAATTTAAAGTGATTTTCCTCACTTGGGACGAGTTCCGTGTCTTTTCTATATACAGTATGTGGACAGTCTGGCCTTGGCATGTTACCCAAAGATGATACAGTAGTATTGATTACCTGGAAGGTTTTGTATTAATAAAGCAATCAGAGCCTCAATTGGGTTTGCTTGTTGGTGAGAACGCTGTACTGTTTATTTACTAATGCTTTGCAATTTCAAAACATTACACAGTACCATACATTTCTCTTGTTACTTTTAATATTTGCATGAATTCATACTGCAGTGTTTAATTAGCCAGAATGATGGCAACATTAATTATTTCACATAAACCATGTTCTTCTTCACTTGAAAGTTTAAATACTGGCCAACGGTATGACCATGCTGACACCTTTTAATCATTGCTCATGTGTCTTCAGCAGGATCATTTTTGGGCTTTGAAAATGTGCACATCAGAGATATGGAATACTGTGAAACCCTTGATGGGTTTGCTGTTGTTTTTAATGATGGAAGAGTTGGCTTCATTACTCCAATGTCAAGTAGATTCACTGCTGAGGTATGTTTGTTGTTCCTACTGCACCTTATGTTTTTTACTATGTATTAGTTTCGCACTCTACAACTGAGCATCTTTTCTTTCTTATATTTTCCAGTCAGCTTTTTTCATTTTTAGATTAGCTCTTTACTTCTCTGACTTAAATCTTGTAGAACTGCTTCTGATTAGATAATTAGTGAAACAGATCAGATCAAACTTGTTCCTAAAAATCAGTTTAATTATGTCATTTTCTTAAGGCAGGCAGAAGCATAATGGTGGCCACTGGATAGGATATTAAGAGAACTAGTAGGAATGATCACTTTTGTAGTACATTATTCTGATGGTTTGCAGCAGCTCAGGATCTAACTCTCAGGATCTTTCATGCCTTTTATTCCTGCCTTTGACTGGCTTCTTGGACAGCTATACACATACTTTTTGTCCCATGACGTGCCACAGATCTGCCGCTTCAGAGCAGACTCGATTAATCAAGCCTACTCTGCATGTGAGCTGAAGCGAACTGTGCTGCACTGTGTGCAGTTGTATAAGCAGTGAAATGCGTGTCAGCAAGCAGAAAATGGCGGTGATGTGCTTTTAAACTAAAGCACCTCCAATATGTTTTAGTTCAAAAGCATGCCACTGCCATTTTGTCAGCGCTGATGTGCATTTTGCTGCTTATACAGTTGTAAGTTGCAGCGCCGGGTGTTTGTATGTGTAAATATGCCCCTTGTTACCAACTAGAATCTCAGGATAATAGGATAGGTGGTTTCTCCTATTATAAAAATTTTAGTGCTTTTAGAAGTGCCTATCACTTTACTGTATATTTGAATGTTTCTGTTAGAATTACCTTTTCTGCAGCATTGTTTTTTTCACTTGTCACAACCTACACTAGCAGGCTAGTGATATGATCTTCCCTAGCGTTCGGTTGTTTACAGACTTGCCCATAATTAACGCGTTGACATGTCTTGCGTTAGATTTTGTTGTTTTAATTAGTAAGGATAAAACTTTTTTTTACAGTTTTCCTAGATTTTATAATGAATAAAGATCTGACTTCAGATCTGTCTCAATATGACCCTTTGCTTCAAAACTGTTTCCACTAAAGGAGGGCAACATATCAGTTGATATTACTCGGCTGTAAGATTTCTGCATTTATAAGTAGCAAATATCAGGAAAAATAAAAGTATTGTGACACGTCTATGCATAGTGTTCTTTTTTTCTGTATTTGAAAGAGATTTCAGCACTTTAAATATATTACAGGTTAAATTCTTTTGGGCCCATGACTGCAGACACCCATTTACAGAAAGTTCACTGATTTAAGTGATTGCTGGTCATTTCATTGAGCTCAGTAGAAGGTGCATGTATGTAAAGATTCAGATTGGGCTCCCAGTGGCAAATGAACATACCGTTTAAGTAAAATCATTTTTTTCCCCTTTTTCACAACTCTTTCCTTGCAGCAGCTCCATGGTGTATGGGCACAAGATGTAGTTGATGGAACTTGTGTGGCGGTAAATAACAAATACAGATTAATGGCATTTGGATGTACCAAGTAAGTTCTACGTTGCTGTTCTAACGGTGTGGTAGGAAAGCTTTGGGGTTTTTTAGTAGAAATTAAGGTCCTTTATTTAGTGCTGCTTGGGTCAGACCATAGGTCCATCTAGCCCAGCATTCTGTGTCACACAGTGGCAGAGAGTAGGTGCTGAAAGGGAGAGTGAATTGGGTATGACTAGAGTTTTTTCCACTGTTCCTCTCATTTGTAGCCTCAAACGTTTAAGGTCTAAGAAGTTCTAATTCAGAGGCTGTATCCCTAACTCCCATGCTCAGTAGCTTCTGATACCTTTTCCTCCAAGAATCTGTGCAGTTCCTTACTGAATCTATCTAAACTGTCAGCTTCCACAACATCTTCTGGCAATGAGTTGCATACTTTAATTATATGCCATGTGAAAAAGAACTTCCTTTTGTCAGTTTTTAACTTACTGCCTACTAATTTCATATTGTGACCCCCTAGATCTTGAACTGAGAGAGATGATAAATAATAAATCCCTATTTACTTTTTCTTCTCCATTTAGTATTTTGCAAACCCTTTATCATGTCCCCCCTCAAGTGTCTTTTTTTCAAAACTGAATAGGCCTAGGCTCTTTAGTCTCTTCTCACATGGAAACCCCTCCGTACCACTAATCATTCTTGTTGCCTTTCTCCGCACCTTCTCTAGTTCTTCTATGTCCTTTTTGAAGTGTGGGGACCAGAACTGGGCATAGTATGTTTTAAAAAAGAAAACAAAGAAACAAACTTGTAGGCTTCCAGGAGATGCCATGGATGCCATTACAAATTAAATTCAACCTCAGCATGTTCATTGTAATGGACTATGGAGGAAGTATGATTGGTACAGCATATTTTTCTTGAACATTAATCCATGTAATATGCTATATTAAAGTTAGGCTGTTTTGGTCACCAGGACGTTCTCTTTGTTCCCTCTCTGCTCAGAAATTGGTACGTTAAATCCTTTACAATGTTCATTACACTCTAGGGTTTACCCATTTCATCAGAGCTGTCCTGGCATTTCTTGAGTGATGTGGCATATGTAGATTAATGGGACACAGCAGCTGTTGCTTTCTCTGCTTATCTTAAGAGTAAGCACACTTATCAGTAAAGATTTTCTGTGTAAAATGGCGCCCCTTCTCTGGGATGAGTAGCATTTTTTCCCTCCTTTGAATTTCCTCTCTTGCTGCTTGCCTTTGCTGTTATAATTAAATAGCAATTTTATATAGCGAGAAGTTATTAACCATTTTTTTTAAATCATAAGGTAGTAGTATTGCATTTTTATTACTGCAAATGAAACCACACAAATCAAGGTTATACAGAAGTTCTTAGATTCAACCTTGAGGATCTTGCTGCTAAGGCTCTAAACAATATTTTTAGTTTTCCATGTATTGGCCAGAAGACAGTCTTTGGAGTAAATGATAGGGACTTTTAACTACGCTAGTGGACAATAATTAATTCTTGTAACTTTTCCCTCGACAGAGTTTTTCCAGGTAGGGAAAAAAGTACAAGGTTCCTAATGACTACAATATCAGCTCTTGCTAAATCTTAATTACTCTTATTCCTCCTGAACAGCATATTCTGCTTCATGCTGTATATTGTATATCACGCCTTGCTTTAAATATTTGGGCTTTAAACAAATTTATTTTCTGTTGTGTTATTTTAAAAATCTTTCCTATATATGCATGTGCATTATATATTATGCATTATTATAATGCATATGTGTATATATTCTCCCAGTAAATACAGAAGTATTTGAGAAGCATACTGCTGTCATGGGGAAGAGGGAGATTAATTCCCAGTCAGTACCTCCTTCCATTTCATTTCCAGTCTGCAAACCATAAATATGACTGGAGCGAATTTCCCGATGTCCAAGTAGGATTGGTTTGGGAAAAATATGCCTCATTAAAATGAATAATGTTGAGACATGACTAAAGATGGAAACACTAAGAGCCACTGACAGATTTCTCTGTTCTGTAGAGAATAGGTTCAGAAGAACGATGTTGGCAGTTTCCTAGGTGACTGGATACCATTTATTGTTGAAATGCTGAAGATAAACATGCTTTCTGCTCTGCTGATTTCTTGTTTCTCCCCATTTTCCTCTTCCTCCTTTTCCAAGTCAGTTTTCTTATGTGGTTATTTTGTCACGCCTTTACCATTGCTGTTTTTAGAGGAGATTACAGAAATTGGGCTGTGTCTGAATGTGTGTTCAATTATAATATTTTGGGCATTAATTTTAAATAACTATTGTAATTTTTTTCTATTCATTTTTTTGGGATTTTGAGTGAGCCCTTCTTTAGAGTGCTTTTTTGTTTAATAAAGCAATCTTCATATTAATTGGGGTGGTTCAAAATGAACATTGGCACTGTGGTAAATCGTGCATTAAATGAAAATGGTTCTCTACTGACTTTTCTGAATTTGGAGTCTGTGTAAACATTTGGATCATACCTTTGTTTTTAGCGAGGTAAACAGTATTTATTTCATTAGTGCTTTCATAAGCTGGCTTTGTTGGGTTCTATACCATATTTCTTGGAAAATCTTTTTTATAAACAGATTTCACAGGCTTGTTTTAAGAAGTTAGTTGACAACATGTTGCTCTCCAGGGTGCTCTAGGATTACTGCCTGAACCCTCTACTAGTTTGTTTTCCATGCCTTTTAAGAAGTTAGGTTTTAAAATAGGTAAGTTTTCTGTATGGTTTAATATCCTAACCACTTTCTTTTTTGTAGCATAGTTTCTCAACCTGTGGTACACTTACCCCTAGGTGTACACGAGACACAGGCAGGGGGTATGCTAGTACCACAATGCGCGCGCGCTCTCTCTCTC